TTATTATTATTATTATTATTATTATTTTTATTGTATTGGTTTTCATGAAAATACAATCATTTGCAAATGATGTAATTTTCTGGCCTATTAATAACTCAACATGAGTGACTAAACACAGCAGACAATTAAGAAACGTTTTCAGGTTTGGAAATGAATAATAAGGGCCCAGCTGTTTGAAGGTGGATAAGTGTTAACCCAGGGTTAAATTTCAGTCCAGGTCTCTTTATTTCTATAATTTACCCTTTTCTTTTTAGAGCATCTAGTCATCAAACGACAAAAATAATTTTACTGAATTTTCTTTTGAAGCTTTCAGATCTGAAATCAAATTTCACAATATCCCTGGGTTATCTTATAACCCAGCTTTGAACAGCCCATCCCAGGACTTTTGGGAAATGGGTTTGGGGTTCCTTACCTTGCAAGGAGCTAGATTTACATGTAAGAATAATATGTTAGGTCCTAACTCTTCTCAGGAAAGTTCCAACAATTAATGCTAATACAAGCAGTAAGAAGAAGACGTGTCAGCTTATAAATGCGGCATTCTTTATCACACAACTGATTTTATAAAGTTTCTTTGTTACTTGGTGATTACTTGAATTTCTTGTTCCAGTGATACACAGTATAGGTAATGCTGTTCAGGAGATAAATCACTTTATTATATATTATAGATGATGATGAAACACCAGGATTTTTCCTTTTACTGAAAAATCATATCTTCATCATGCCCAGTGAAGATACTGTTTTTATCTTTCATGTGTGAGGATATTGGTGTTGCTTTGGTTACTAGCACGATAAGCCATTTATAAGAGAGCTTCCTGCTTAGGTGCGCAGCCAGTTCTTTTGAAATTTTATTCACCAAATGGCTTCAGGGTGTGAAGATGGTACAGTTACCGGTGACTTTCTCGATAAGCTGCCAAATCTATCTGAATTTCATGACATTTTTGTGACAGGCATTTTGTGATAGGTGACCACTTTAATTGCACTGTTTCAAAAATAAATAAAAAAAGTTGTGTTTTATATGGAAATTTCATCAGTATCTATAAAATAAACAGAACATTGCATGACCGCTTGGGATACAAATTTTATATTCTCATGCTGCAAGTATCTTTCACTTGTAAGAGACTGATATAGCACCTGAAAATAAAATTCCTATCCCCACGTAGCCAAGTAATATCCTCTATATATCTAGCTAATAAGTGTCAATCAAATGCACTGCACTTATTTTCTGATAGAGATTTATCCAATAGATAACGTTAGCCACCCATTCAACAACAAGGGCTTGACCATGAAATCTGCATGTCTCAAGCTTAATGATTCCTAACTGGTCATGTAAAGTTTTATCCCCGTGTCCCCCACATGTTTTAAACATGAATCTTGATAGCTTCAATACATCGTAATCTTGTTTATGGATACCTAAATTAACTGCTGTGAGAGTTTTTTTATATGAGTCATATTTGTTCTAATAATTATATAACCCTTTACTCCCAAGATCTGATTGTAAATTCTCCCCTTCTAGCTTCTATACATTTCCTTGTAAATTAGTTGGGATAACTTTGAGTACCAGTATTCTAATTACCTGTCTGCTGGATAATGTTTTTATACATTATCCAGCAGACTGGTAATTAGAATACTGGTACTCAAAGTAGATATCATTGGGAGAAGTTGCATGTTAATCACTTCAGGGGAGTGAAAGAGTTAATTGTCTGCAAATAATACAATATGGTTACTTTTAATTCATAATGTCTTCTTTTGTATAATAATTATTTTACTTTCCTCACTCAATAAGCTTGGAAAGACCGTCCTAGGACATGATGGACAGTTGTTTGATAGTACATGGAGGCAAAAAGGGAAACGTTAACTCTGTTTTGCAAGACAGGTAGCCAGCCTTTAATAAAAGATTGTTAACTTAAGCAATCGAAATTAGGTTTATCATAGTTTGCAATGGACAAAAATGAAAACTTCAGTCTTTCCCTCAAGTGGTTTTCCTTTGTATTTAACTCCAACTTACCCATGTAAATGATGACATGAATATTCAATTCGTATGATGTACATTACACAAACTTGCATTTTACTTTTTGTCAACTTAATCCTGATATACATACTATGATAAGGTGCATCTAAAGAAAAAAAATATGCAGTTTTTTTGTGATAGGTTTAATGCAGCAAGAGGGATCAGTTATATTTCATTTTTTTATGAAATAACTGAGAGAGATACTAATTTATTGCACTGAGTGGTAAAAATGTTATAATTGTTTATTGCACTGAAAAACCTGTAGGTAATTTTGGCTCATAATTTACAAACTTTTGTCATGTTCTTCCAACATCCCCTGTCGGTTATTTACGCCTAGTTACCTGAAAGAGAGTGAGTTCTTTTGTTTATTAAGTATACCAGGTGTGTGAAATTTCTCTCATTAACCATTTTTCAAGATCATTTACTGATTATAATCATTCTCTCCAAGGGAGGACAGAATGTAATAGAAGACTTAACAGTGATTGGTGAGGATGATCCTGTACCAGCAGGATTCACAGCAGTGACAAAACCTCATGATGATGGTATGTGCAGCCATTGATCTTTGGTAAATTTCTGACTTCAAGATGATTCTGCTTTAAGACAAGGCTGTTCTACTGCTTGTACATATTTATCTAGGCACGAGAAGCAGCACTCCCATACACGTTTGTTAGTACACTTACTGCCTTCCCTTTCTCCCTTTATGTTGGTCTACAATTTGGTATGGACACAATGGCAGTTAAACACTTTGGAAGAAGAACAAAGAACTATCATTATCATCAATGTTGTTCTGGAGATTAGTGTCCCAACTAATTATGTCAGGGAGTGAAGCTCTGATTTCCTTTTTTTCTGCACATATACTGGTTGTGGTTTCTTTTTGATAAAAACCTTGATTGAT